ACGATTAAACCTGAATACTGAGGTTTTAGCTTAGAAAGAAACAAAATGGCTGCACTGGGGTGACTTGGCTCACGTGCTGAAAGAGAGGGCCTTGTGACATGCGTTCCATAAGTTTGCCACCACTGGTCTAGACGCACCTCACCTGCTTACCTACCTTAGGTCCCACAGGTTTCTCCATTTATATAAAAGTTGCCTTGAAAAGTCCTCTTGGGTTCTGTGAAGACGTTAATAAACTCAGAAGCATTCTAGGGACTAGAGTGAGATGACAGATAGATGGCCGCATCTGTTACAGTCATGCCTGTTGATGTGGCTTGGTAGCAGCCTCTGGCTGTAGAGTTTGTTTTTGTTTTGTTTTGAATACAGGGTTTTACTATGTAGTTCAGACTGGCCTTGAACTCATGGCAATCCTCCTGCCTCAGCCTCTCGAATGCTGGGACTACCAGGCATGCACCACCACACTTGACCATAGAGCATTTTCTTTAGAGACAGGGTCTCACTATGTAGTTGAGACTGACCAGGAACTCACTGTGTAGCCCAGGCTGGTCTCAAACTCACAGCGATCCTCCTGCCTCAGCCTCCCGAGTGCTGGGATTACAGGCGTGCGCCACCACGCCCCAGCACCTTCTGACTTGGGACTGGAGAGTCTTTCTCTACCCACCTATCTCTGGCTGCGGGTATTTGAAGCAGGGAAAGTTACATGTCAGAATCGGAAAGACTCCGATGTGCCGAGGAATGGGAACCCCACATCAAGGCAGTCCAGCTCTTGTGGTGCCCTCAGCCGCATGTGGGGACAAAAGCCTGGCAATGCGGTCAGAAGGGAGAGCTGAGGCACCGGCCTTCCCACCCATGCAGGCCATGGAGAGCGAGGTCAATGTGTGCTACAAGGAGCTGTGCGGCCCCCGGCCGAGCCCCCAGCTCTTGACCAACCAGCTGCAGCGGCTGTGCGTGCTCCTAGACGTCTACCTGGAGACTGAGAGCCACGACGACAGTGTGGAGGGGCCCAAGGAGTTTCCCCAGGAGAAGATGTGTCTGCGGCTTTTCAGGTGAGAGAGGGCTGGGGCTCTGGTGGCTTTTCGGGGACCTGGGACAGAGATCAGAGCCCTGCAGCAAATTAGGTCTCAGTGTGCAGGGCTGAGTGCGGAGAGCATGTGCTTCTGCAGGTACACTCGTCTCTTCCTGGGACCTTGGTCCCTGCCCCTGGAAGCTTCCTCCACAGCTTTGCCTTCACACACACTGGAAAGGGCCCCCCAGCCAAGTCAGCAGTGTCAGGCCATAAACCAAGAGGATCAGGCTGAACTCTCAGCAGTTTCTCAGTACCCTTTCAACAGTAGAGTTTGTCTGCTTTTAAACTGGTACCTCCCCATAGTCCCCAGGAGTCACTGTGGTCTGTGAGACCCTTGGCTGTGGGCAGCCAGGCCGCACAGAAGGAAGAGCTCCCAAGGAAGACAGTGAGGGAAGTGACCACAGAAGAGTCACTTGCTGAGTGGTAGAAGGAGAACTCCCTAGCTCATGATGAATCAGGAATCCATGTAAAGTTTCCAGATGATTTGGACACAAGAGTTCGCCCCCAGGACCGGACGACTTGGTGTTGACGGTGTCTGGGCTCGTGGCCCTTTGGGCTCCTTTTTATTTTCTTTGGTACTGGGTCATTTCTTTCTCTTTTGTCCCCTAACTCATGTTCTTGGTCTTTCCAAACTGTAGAGATCCTTGCTCGGACCTCTCTCCCCTTTGGGGAGGGCTTGGGGGAGTGGTGTTGAGACCGCAGTCTCTTTCTAGTCAGGACCTTCCCCTTGTCCCTATCATCTGAATGCGGCCTTTTCTTCCCCTCTGTGTTCCCCGCCCAGCATTCTCCCACCTCATTTGACCCCTCCACTTGCCTGGTTCCTTGTGTTGTCTGATAGTAAACACCCCAGTCCCCAAGGCTGCAGGGAGGCAGAGCTGGGGGCTGGACACTGGCGCCTTCTAGGACTTGTGTTCCCTACTGGTTCTGCGTGAGAGCTCAGCGCTTCCCACCCGCTCAGTCCGCCCTAGCACATTTCCAGGGTGGGAACTCCCACATCGCCTCGTCTCATTTCCGCTTCTCCGATGCTTTCCAAACCCTGTGTCCTGACGTGCTGAGCTCCTCTTAGTTCTCTGGGAAGGTGCTCCTTTGGTGATTCAGATCCCATCAACTCCATAATCACTAGGCTGGAGTTGTGAAGCTCTCGGCCTAGCGTCCAGCCCACCACTGGGATCGGGATCGGGCCACAGGGCCAGGGTGTACAGTGCTGCTATGAGCAGCCAGAGACTGGTGGCTGGGAACTGTCAGGCTGAGGCTTCTTCGTCAGTACTGTGCCAGATGTTGCCCTTGGTGACAGTGTCCTCCTGGGGTCAGGTGATGAGTGACATCATGGATATGAGCCAGGCCTTCGGGGCCAGAAAGAGGCCCCAGAGGTTCCACTTCCAAGTCCTGTCAGTTGAGTGTGATGCGAGTCTAGCCTGTGAGCCTCAGTTTCCTCATCTGTAAGATGACCGCTATCGCACATCATTGGGAAGGTGACGTTCAGTGAGCCAGAGTGTCTACAGTGCCACGCAGCACAGTGTGGGCTGAGGAAGCCCTGGCCAGCTTCTCCCCTCTTCACGACCCCTCTCTCACTCACGCACACTCACCCATACATAGACACATGCGTGCACACGTGTACTTACTGTCCCTTGAAACCAAGACCCAGGGTGTCCCTTTCTGGTTACCACTGAGTGTCAGTTAGACGGTCACAGGTGGCGCCCCTTTCCTATGGAGACCTTCTATGAAATATGCTTAGGAACCCAGAATTACAGCTGCAGCACCTAAGCTCCACTGTGTCAAGAGTCTGGACACAGCCGGGCGTGGTGGCGCACGCCTTTAATCCCAGCACTCCGGAGGCTGAGACAGGAGGATCGCTGTGAGTTCAAGACCAGCCTGGGCTACAGAGTGAGTCCAGGTCAGTCTCAACTACATAGTGAGACCCTGTCTCAAAAAA